GTGCACCTTGAAACTGGGATAGTCTAAGAAAGGTTGCAAACATTTGATGCCTAATATGGGATGTCAGTCTGGTGCCTTTCCCACCCCTAACTATGACTACAATTGTTTCCATGGTGCACTCACAGTCTATGGTGCCTGCCTGGATGCTCCTCAACTACCTTTGTTGAATATATCCAAGAAGCATAGAATGACTTTGGTTGGCCAGGCCCTCTGGGTCCATCTGCTCCAACCTCTGTCCAGCAGAGCCACCAGCACAGGGTGCCCAGGGCTGTGTTCAGTCAGCTTTGAAAGATCTTCAGGGAGGAGTCTCCAAAACCACTCTAGGCAGCTTATGCAAGTACTCTGTCACCCACATAGCGCAGAAGTGCTGCTTGGTGTTCAGAAGCAATCTCCTGTGTTGCATAATGTACACATTCCCTCCCTCCATTCTCTTTCAGTCTCCTTTTAGATATTTCTGTACACTGATAAGTTCCCCCTTGAGCCTTCTCTTCTCCAAACTGAACAGTCTCAGCTCTCTCAGTCTGCTCTTGATGCTTCAGGTTCTTAATCATCTTTGTGTCTATGCACCAGCAAGACCATGTGTCCAGACAGAATTTATTCACTTTATGCCTTTGATGAATCTAATAAAAATTTTAAGATATTAAGTAAAGCAGAAATCATAATCAAACCAAGGTGAAAAAGAAAAACCAAGCAAAAAAAAAAAAAAAAAAAAAAAAAATAGAAACCTCAAACCCAATTACATTTCCTCCAGGCATTTGCATTTCTTTGCTCAGTATGAGTAACATCTCATGAAGAAGTCTCAAATGTGAATTGTTATAAAACATACTGATAATGTCCTCTGATCTTCGGGAAAAGACACAGACAGGCTCATACGGTGGGTCTCTCTAGGCTACTGGTCTGGTTCTGTATTTCAGTTTGGTGGCAGCCAGCAGTTGTCTGCCAAGCAATTCTTACTTCATCCATGTTTAGCATGCTCAGTCTCCCCAGAGACAGTGCACAGAGGGTCCAGTTTGAAATCACCAAGGTACTAAAACTGATCTTTTCCCTCTACACACAGAAAATAAACAGGAGTTTAAGATTTCATAGCAGTAGTGAACCATTGCACCCGTTGGTTAGGCACCTTGGAAGAATGCTCAGCACTACCTGACTATCAGGATGCTGTTCACTATCTTCAGC